GCCTTATATTGGCTCTCTGCCTTTTCCTCGGACACTCTGTTCTGCACAAAGCCAAAGAGCAGGAACCACACATTTGGTCAGAACAGGTTTATGACTGGAATCGTGACATTTTGGCATCTCTTTTACCATAAAAACAAGTTCAGGGATATTCTGACATAACCATGGGAATTAAAAAAATATTTAAATTTAGACTTACAGTTCTGGTCATTCTTCTTATTTGCATACTTTAATCATTGTTACGATTATTAACAATTGCAAAGCCAACATCCAACACCTTTCTGTCACAAAAAAACACCAGCTCAGCCTTTTCACAACCTCTACATCCATGTCTGTTTGTCTCAAACTTGTGACATTTGACCTAACACCACGATAATCAATGAAACCTTTTTCCACTAACATCATGCCACCGCACAAAACAATGCCGCACTCTCACACGGTGGCCTGCTGACTGAGAATGTGCAGCTATCAATGTATTTAGTCCCGGGCGATTGCTTTTTTCTGGTAGCTTCGTTATTCGTGCTGTTGAATAGCATGCTGGAGAGCTGCTACTGTTGTTGGTAAAGGCGGCGTTAGTCAGCTTTTCTCACCGGAGCTATTGTTGCCACAGCTTTTTTGTCAATCAGAGAGTCCATCTAAAGGTCACTGTTTTGTTTGTGTTCCACTCGGAAAGGTTCCTGTAATGAAAACGCTCCGCAATGACGGCCTTTAGGGCCCCTTCTGTCAAAATAGCAGTTGATTCTTTATATACATAACTGCTCACCTGAGACCTCTCCCATCCTGGACTGTCAACCCGCATATCACAGCATCCAACATCCTCCTCTTGCAGCTGGGGACTGAGGTTACTCAACCATCCCAGTCAAGTCAAGGTGAAACTCGCCCACTATCCTTGAAACGATGGCTCTGAATTGGCTCTCTCGTCATCTCTGGCTGAGTGCAGAGGGAAAAAGCCTGTTTCTTCTCTCTGTATTCAGTGAGTGGATGGCGATCAGCCCAAGGGGAGGGCGTCCCCTGACCAGAAAAACACCCCAGGTCTCGGCCTCTTGTGGAGGATGGCAGAGGAGGCGGGCTGAGCTGCTAGTTATTGGATCTCTTGTGGGTTTTCGGGGGTTGTAAAAGCTTTTTATCTACATCTTAACTACCTCCTATGTGGTACAGCAAAGCTTAATTAAGGCTTGAAAGAAATTGTAAAAGGGTGTTTTTTGCAACTTGTGCAGCCAATCAATTAGAACGTTTCCTCATTACAAGCAGGAAAGTCGGTGTGTATCATCAAACGTGGCCGATTTAATGAGATTCTAAAGTTATATAATTTAATGTTTGCCTCATGAGACGCACAAACGAGGCCTTAGAGAATGACTGCCGAGAGATAAATGACCTCTGCAGGGTAATGTATTCTGCCGTGGACTGGAAATACAATGAATTACTCATGAGAGTTTGATCAATATATGACTGTAGCCCAGTAGGTTTCACATATGTGAGGCCTCCTTCAGACCTGCTGGAGGAGGCATGCTGTTGCTGAAATGACAGCTTGTTGCATTGCTCCTGCCTCCTATTTAGTTTGCCATAACAGTCAAGTAAAGCCCTCTTATGTTCAGGTTTGAGCTTGTAATTGACCACTCACCTTCCTGTTTGACTTGAGGCGTTCAGTTAAATGTTCACTGCATTAATATAGCAGCAAACAGCTATATGTAAAGATAAAGTGGAGTAATGTCTACCTGAGCAGAGAATATACTGTGTGTGTGTGTGTGTGTGTGTGTGTGTGTGTGTGTGTGTGTGTGTGTGTGTTAGCGCTGCAAAAGTTAGGGGAGAATACTATATTCTTTTTGGGCCTGTTGATGTAACAATTAGTGATTATAGCAACTTTAAAGGGCATTAGGAGCACCATCCAACCACCAGTTGGTTCATGGATCACAGGCAGAACTAAATGAAATGATTGGAAGGATGTGATACCGAAGTTCGAAGCCTGAATAAGTAGAAAACTTTGGACCATTAAGGGAAGAAAGCTGACCTTTTTCAAGCTTCTAATCAAAGCAAAGCTGAACGACTGTGTGCTTTCAGGTCTTGTTAATACCATTGTGAAACGGAAAAGCTAATAATCTGCAGTTTTATAATGGAAAGACAGAAACAGAGCTGAGCTTGTTCTCAAGGTTTTTTTTTTTTTAGTTCATGACTCTGTTCTCTGTTTATTAAGCGGCCAAGCGTCATAAATGCTCCGGTGACATGCGGCCTCCCAACTCAACAAGTGGGACCCAAATCTACACATAAAAATGTTACACTTTGATCTAAGTTCCCTTTAATGTCGCTCCCAACTCGGTTCAGTAATTTCGTCACGGGAGTTTTGATGGTCTTTAAGGTCACACTGGTGAGACCGGCTCTCCAGCCAAGCAAAAGTTCACGGCAATCTGTGACTGATCCTGCTTCATGCTACACACGGACGGAGTCGTGAGGAGTCTGAGAAAGAGACGGTTTAAAGAGAGCTGAGAGGGAGAGAGAGAGAAGAAAATGGATAAAGGGGGAGATTTTCAGAGTGGTCAGCAGAGGACTAGCTTGGCTTCTTTTTGCTGGAGTTGTGGAACAAGGTGATTAGAGCAGCAGACTGCATGGGGAGCTGTGGCTGAGTCTCAACTGCTGTGATGATTTAAGAGTTGCAGAGAAAGAGAGAGATGTGGGGGGGGCGTAAAGGGGAGTAGAAGTGTGTGGATAGAGGATGCTTTAGAACTAAATCCCAGCCTGGTACTGGACTGCGTGATCTGATTGAAAGATGCTTTACGGTTTAAATGGCCGCGCTTGCATTTGTCAAAAACAATCTCCTTTTATGACGGAAATACATCACTCGGCAGCATATTTTGATGTCTATCTGTTTGGGATTGTACGGACGTACAGACGTTTGATATGCCTCCCTCTTGGGTGCACAAGAGGTGTGCGTCGCTCGAATCCCGCTGAGGGTGATTCCAAGATGAATGTGAGAAAGTGGATGAGACACTATCGTGGTCACGCACTGCCAGCAGATATTTATTTGAGTCTTATGATCTTAAAAAACGTCTAGAACTATTTCAAAGGGAAGTGAAAGAAAAAGCATGTCACTCGCTTCCTCTACTTCTCATTATCTGGATGAGGAGTTTTCATCACTTCGTCCCTAAATGCCTCATTGTCAAGATTTAAGTGCTCGGACAAATATCACCATTAAGAGTATTCAGGATCATTTAATTGACAATACATTTAGTAGAGAAATATGTCATTATACAACTTTGTTTTAGAGTTGTGGCAAGTGTTTAGACGTGTTTTTCACCATCACTGCCACAAAGCAGCAGCTATATTCATTTTGGGGTAAGAACAAATCACTGCTGCAGCCACTAAGTTGGCAGTCGCTTGTAATGATAATAGGACAAAGGTATTTTAGGGGCCGGGGGAGATATTCAAGAGAATAGCTCATTAAGATTGTGACATAATAGCTATTTATTGATCCATTTTAATTTGGGAGCTAAATGACGTCCTGTCGGAATACTTGTGCCCTCTCACGTTTGGACTTTTATTACCTTTGTAGCCACTAAAAAAAGTTTGAAAATCCATTAAGCACAAAAAACTCTAAATGTTCAATATGCAGCCAAGTAAATTATAAAAGTGGTCCTTTATGCAAGAGCTTTTCCATGACTTGTGGTTCAGCTCCTGAGTTCCCACAGCGTGTGTCTTAATTAGAACAAGCATGTGGTCCTAGTTCTTCCTGAACTATAAGCAATGAGGGGAAAAAAACTAGAATGTTCCCTCACAGGAGAGGTTTCCAAGCTCTCCCTCTTCAATATCTGGCTGCTCCCGAGAAAAGTAAAAGAACACAACCGACGAAGGGAACGAGGAGTAAATTAAATGTGAGTTTTTCCGAAATTCCCATCCATCTATTAACCCTTTTGGTTTGTTCTGGGTCCTGGAGACCCCAAACCCTCTTAAACAGCTGAAAAAACAACTTTAATTGTTTTATCAGCTTTGTTCTTCATTCTTTTTTCATGATTTTTCCAATAACAATTGATTAAAAACATGACTTGGACATGTTTTAGTGTGCTGAAGGAAACTCCTCTGCTGTTTCTTGTAAAACATGGTTAAATACAAAGGGTTTTCATGAGCGCCGTTATTCATTAGTGTGGACTTGCTACCTTTTTTTTTTACTTTCTGGATTTCTGTTTCTGGATTTTTAAGAGATCTAACAGGAAGTCGGACATCTCTGGGATCCAGCTGACCCCAAACATCAAGGTAGGTACTGTACAATTCTTTGTCTATAAAATATTTTCATGAGCTTATTTGGTGTAATAAGGCTTTTTGCTCATTAAGTTAGGGTTAAAAAGGGAAATGGTTACCACCTCAATACTTTTCCAGTTATTGAGTTTCATAAGTGCAAAGGGAAAATATTTAAAGGAAACGATTTGGCTGATTTTGCAATTATTTTAATAATGCTCACACATACAGCAGTGGGGTCTGCGCTAAGTAAAGCCAAGGGTCAACAAAACAGAAGGGTTAATAGCCTATATTATGATCCCACTTTCACCTGAAGAGGGCGCCCTCACAGTTCAATCACCTGTTTGTTACAGTGAAGGTGATGAAGGAATGGATAGACAGACGACAGACCATAAAAACAAACATACGTGTAGCAGAGTGTCACTCAAATATAAGTAAACTAGCCTAATAATAACAAAAATCTGACCTAAACAGGCAACCTGAACTTCTTGCATATATTTTAATAAACGCTTCATGCTTAATAAAAACAAAGCCCTCTTGAGAAATGAGTCCAGCTTGTTCAACATCTTGTGTCTGCTGGCAAACAGCTCCTGAACGCGTCTTCGCACATCACTCAAACGCTGCTTGTCAGACACAGTGCGGCTCACATCCTCAGGCACACAGTCTCCACTGTCTCCCCGGCAGCTGGAGAAACGCTTTGTCTCCTCAGCTTCTTCTGCACAACACACACACACACGCACGCACGCACACAGGGCATCACACAGAAGAAGAAGAAGCCATTGGCTCCGAGGAGCTGATGACGGAGGGAGCGCACTGTCTTCTCCAGGAGCGCGTTAGCCCACAACAGACTCACGCACACACACTGCACCTCCGGCCAGTGGGATGATACCAGTGTGTCGGACTGGGACGAACATTTAAGTGGGGAACTTAGTTTTTTCTTCTTCTGCGGTTATTATTTTTGTTTAATTTGGAGGTGGAGACCTGTTAGAACGAGCGCGTTTACACTCTCCAGGAGCGCGCAGTGTGGCACACGCTGGAACAAAAAAAAAAAAAAAAAAACAGCTCAGTGCAGCGCAGGCAGGTTTCCGTTTTAAAAGCAGCAGGAGAGGTACGAGAGTTACGGAGTCCGCCGGGAAGCGGTGTCGGTGCACGAGGAAGACGGAGAGCAATCTGCGGCGGAACTTGGATATGGCGCGTGTGAAGACGGTCGACCTTCTCGTGGGAGTTGTTTTAGTTTTGCAGTGTTTGGGGGATGCCCGAGCCGAGATCCCAGCGAGTGACGGTAAGAGCCCGCACCTTTAAATATCAACGGGACCTGAGTTATAGTGTCCCGTTTTTACAAGCTGAAGTCAAACGCGTCTGCAGAACATGCAGCAGAGAACACACAACTATCAGACACAGGTGGAGGGTGCGTTGCTTTGGCGTGCGAGCTACTTAGTTTTATGCTCAATTCTATTCGTTGTAGTTGCAGTACATCTCCATTTATCATATTTCTGTGTGTGTGTGTGTGTGTGTGTGTGTGTGTGTGTGTGTATGCAAAATAAGAGAAGACCCCGAAGGCGGTTTCTCTTTAATTATCTTATTTTTAGGAGCAACGAGGACGTCATGACCTACTATCTTCCCTTTTCTGTCTCGATCAAAGACTTTGTTATTGTCTAATTATCATATTTCCACAACTACTACACATTTGAGTTAATTGCCTTTCTTTCTTTTTTTTTTTTTTTCCATCTTCGCACATTAATTTGCCCTCGGGGTGAGCTAATTACTCTATATTGTTATAATGCAGTCAGAACAATCGGTGCAGAGTATGGCGATCTCAAACTGCATCTGGAAATGTATTTTTGTGTATTCTGGCTTATTGATATGTGAGATTGTTTTCTCTCTCCCTGGTATGATCTGGAACAACCCTCTGCAACTTTTTTTTTGCAGATTTGAGATCAGTAACCGTTGCACGGTGCAGGTGCTTTCTCAGTAGAAGTCCTGCAGAGGAAACGCTGGATACCTGCACGCTCTGTCCATCTTGATGTCCTTGATTATACAGTGGGGGATGAGGACTCCCGTGTGAACAATATCCCTTGTGTAAAGCCACAGTGTGTGCACCTAAAGTCCACTAATCTCAAATCTATTCCATCACACACATATACAGACACACACACGCACACAGCTTGCCCTCTGACAGACGATGGAATAAGTTCATGCCAACGTTGGTCCTGTTCACACAGGCGAGCTCTTGTTTCCCAGAGCTTTTATTGCTGGCAGCGGATTTTCATCACATATCAGATAGTGGTTAGAGAAATGTTCGGCTGCTGACAGTGACTGTAAATTAAGCCCGTGTGTGTGCGAGTGCAGACCACAGAGTTACTGGAATGTACGGCTCCGTTCGGGAGAGATGCTATCGGCCGTGTGTGTGTGGCCGCTTGTACACACTTTTTGTTAGTTCAACGCAGTCATACTCATTCTTATTTATGAATTCAATCAATCTGCTGCTGCACTCATTTCACATCAGTGCTTTGGTAGAAAAACAACGGCTTGTATGCTTTTTTTAGAATGAGGCTTGTTTTAGAGGCTGCAGATTGAGGAAAACATCAACATCCATTAAGCAAAAAGAGCATTTTCCTCTCAGAGTGCTTCATCGCTCCGTCTCCTGCTAGAGCCGCACACATTTAGTATGTAGGACAGTATTTTTAGACATGCAGGGCTAGGTGGTTCCCTTGTCGTGGACTGACCTCAACTCTGCTGTAAGGAGCAGCCCCCTGTCCTTCCTGAGATAGGCTTTTATTAATACAGTGCAGGTAGACTCCTCCACTTCCTGGAGGTAAAATAATAAGGTACCAAAAGCTTTCCTACTCTGGTCCCAGCAGCTCCAGCAGAGCCTGAGATGTGAAAGGACTGGTTTCACTCCTTGCATGTAGTAGTTGGATGAGCTGTGAAGCACATCTGTGTAAAATTACACAGCATCCTGTGAGCTTAGTGCATCGTTTTTCTTTTTTTTTGAAAGAATATTACAGTCTGTGGCTCTGTGATACTCACCCAGTGATACTCTCACCACTGGCTGCTTTTGGGGGGGTTAATTTGCACTCCAGTGCTTCTCCGAGTGGAAAAAAGAGATGTTTCACTAGAGTCTGGAGTGTGTCTGCATGTGCGATGGGAGAATGAAACGGGGAGAGAGCGTGAGAGAAAGAGAGAGAGAGTCTGGCCTCGTGTAATGCTGCGGTCTCTTTTAAAAGCCTGCGCTGAGGGCTGTTAATGTGCAAAGATTGCGGTTGTGTGTGGAATTTAATTTGTTGTGGATGCTCAGAGTTGTGTTTCGTTGGTCGGTGGAGGGTTAATCCGCCCACAGGCGGCGATATGGACGTTTCCAGCTCCCCTCGTCCATCACGTAGCCGGCAGCCACCTCTGCAATCATACCAACAAGCTCTCACACAAGAGTGTAAGCTGCAGAGAAACATGCAGACTGGCTCTGAAGTTTCACCGTCACGACAATGGCTCAGATTGCTGATACCATTTTGAATCCAGTGTCAAGTCTGTTGAAATTCCTTAAACTCCCCAGCCAACAAATCCCGTCTCAAATCTTTCATTCACAATGTCTTTTTAGTTGGTCCCTGTTGCCTCACTCTGACACTACAGGTGTCTGCAAAGGAGCCGATGAAGTGAACTCAGCGACGTTATGTTATTTTACATCCACTTTCCAATTAGCACATAAACAAGTAGAAGTCTTGGGAAGTCTAAATAGTTTTTATGCTTGGCTGAGGTAGAAAAGTAAGTGGATCAATAAAACACAAGGTGCTGTATGATGACATGCATGATCCGAGTATATTTGGTGACTTATATGTACATCATGTGTGAGACAAACATGGACAAACACCAAAGACCATTTCAGTTTCGTGTCCCAGTTTTTCAATTAAATCATTTACACAGGAGCTGATGATGTAGTAGTAGCAGTAGTACGAGTCCTTCTCTTCTCTGTTGAGAGTTACACATGTGTCGCACCGATCGGGCAGGATGTTCGGATCGTGACAAGCCAAGCTACCGCCAACACGTGTGCTGCAGGAATGAGTCCTTAACACCAGGAAATGAGTTTCACTTCCTGTTCCCTCATCTCAAAGTCAGTGTTTTTTTAATGGATCTTTGGTGAGATGCCTGAGAAAGACAATAATATTTTGTTGGTGGTGACATGAAGTCGTGCGACCACAGTGTACCTCGATTATAGGCTAACGTTAGCTTTTAACTTCTGCCAATTGCATTTACGCTTCATAAAAGCGGTGTTAATTTGTGAAGATTATCTTGCTGAACAAAATGTTAAAGTATCATAATTCTTTGTTTGCTTATTTGCTGCAATAATCCAAAATACAATTGAAAAATCACATGGTCTTTTTTGTTTGTTGAAGGAACCAATGCGATGCTAACAAAAACACGTAATCTATGCAGCACTAGCGACCACAAGTTGTTTATTTTATTCGAAGTAAAAACATTCATCCGTTTGGTTGTCAGTCAGTGTTGTGTTGAAGATGATGTCACGGCAGTTTCTCAGGGAGTCGACTGAGTATCGCGCCTACACTGGGGGGGGACTATCCGCAGTGGAAAACGAAATAGAGAAAAGTACTGGTACCAAAAGTGAGTTGAGCCGAACCATGCAAAGGCAATGAGGCATGAACATAAGTTAACCCCAACACCACAGTCTGTTCCAATGGTGGCTGAAGGATAACTGAGTAATAACTGGGACCCAGAGGAATCCCAGTGGTTAAGGTATAATGCCGCACTTATACAGTACGTATTTTTTATTCTACGTGATGAGTTCATTTCCCACCAAACAAACAACCTAAACCGATTCGATAAGGGGATTTAAAAGAGGATTCAGATTTGATATCAAACCTCGTACCTTTTCATGACAAATGCTCTCTTCTCTTTGTCATGCTGAAGGAACGATTCCCGACACAAACTGTCCATGGAGAACAAAAGCTCCGGCTCGGTCTACTTTAGGGAAGAGACTGTAAGCCTTCTTGGAATCTGCCCTCCCTCCCTCCCTCCCTCCCTCCCACCACCCCCCAGCTCTCCTTTCTGACATTGCACATTTCAGAATGGACAGAATGAGCTAGCCTCTTTATTGGCCCTCTGAATGACCTGCTGAAAGGATCTGCCATGAATGGATGACAGGGGTGGGGTGGTATGAGGGGGTAACAGACAAGGAGGGGCGGTGGCGGCGGCTGGGGTTTATGTGCTGCCCCGTATGCAGACACAGTGGGCCGCGCCATACATCGTGGAGGAAGGGTCGACCCCCGTACCAGCATGCAACAGCACCACCAGGCTCCTGCATTGGTCACGCCTGGCCCTCTGAGCTCCCTGCCCCCTTTTTTTTTTTTTCTTACTCCTGGAAGAAGCTCAGTTTGACGGCTTGAGAGGGCCAGAGCGGCACGCAGAGTTCAATAGGCTCAGAGACAAAGAGCAAAGAGGCCACTAGTTAATGAAACCCAGCGCAGTTAAGCTCCTCTTTAGCTGCTCCTCATTGTCTTTCATGTGGTTCAAAAAGCCCCTTCACTTCCCCGATTGCTGCAGAGCTCTGCCAGAGTTGTCTGCACTCACTCCCCGGCATTTTCTATTCGGTTTATTTATTTAGCTTATTCAGAGCAGTGGAATTATGGATCTTGTATGGAACTATGGAGTTTGAAAAGGTCGGAGGCGGGAGCAGCGGCCTTGTTAGGAAGCCTTCCAGATCTGAATGTTCAGTGAGAGATGACAGGCATTTTCCATTCGTGATAAACATCCCTTTTTTTCCACAGATGGTTGCAAAGCAGCCAGTAGACCACAGCCAGGCTGTTATCTGCTCCTCCTGTTGACTCTGCTGAGGGATGCTGCCGTGTAAGAGACGCTAGATCGTCAACTGAGGGGTGAAATGAGTCAAATGTTTTTTATTTAGGTGCGAGGAGTTGGCTTTTCTTTTGCCTGGAGGGGACAGTTTGGGGAGATAACGAAGAGAGGGAGGAGACTTAGAATAAAGGCTGAGCACCTTCATAAGAATTACAGCTGCATTCTATAAATATTACACTCCAGAGAATAGTGAGCAATGATTAACAGCATAGGTCATTATATTAGGATAAAGAGATGACAGTGTAAGAGCATCCAAGAGAGGGATTTTCCTTTCCGGTTATATTTTCTGAAGATCCAGGAGTATTTTTGTGTTAGTGTTGGTGAGGGAGTTGGTGTACTTTCTTTTTTTTCTGCCTCATTTGATTTCTGCATCTGTTAGCTATTTCCTGTCACAATCGATCAACATCATTTGGCCGT